TCCGCAATTTCACAGTTGAGTTCTTTCAGAACTCTTGGGTGAATGCCATCTGTTCACAGTGACTTGTCACTGTTAAGTTTATCAATTAATTCCAAAACCTCCTCTAATGACACTTGAATTTGTGACAATTCCTCAGATTTGTCACCTAATATAATATATGGAGATATACCTATCTCCTAGAACTGGAAGGGACCCTGAAAGGTCATCGAGTCCAGGCCCCTGCCTTCACTAGCAGGACCAAGTAGTGATTTTGTCCCAGATCCCTAGGTGGCCCCCTCAAGGATTGAACTCTCAACCCTGGGTTTAGCAGGCCAATGCTCAAACCACTGACAAAGGACGGCTAAGGTTGGGGAATCTCCCTAACATCCTCAGTCATGAAGACTGAAGCAAAGAATTCATTTAGTTTCTCCACAATGACTTTATCATCTTTAAGTGCTCCTTTTGTATCTCGATCATCCAGAGGCCCACTGGTTGTTTAGCAGGCTTCCTGCTTCTGATATACTTAAAACACATTTTGTTATTACCTTTTGAGTTTTTAGCTAGCTATTCTTCAAACTCCTTTTTGGCTTTTCTTATTACATTTTTACACTTAATTTGGCAGTGTTTATGCTCCTTTCTATTTACCTCACTAGGATTTGACTTCCACTTTTTAAAAGATGCCTTTTTATCTCTCACTGTTTCTTTTACATGGTTGTTAAGCCACGGTGGCTCTTTTTTAGTTCTTTTACTGTGTTTTTTAATTTGGGGTATACATTTAAGTTGGGCCTCTATTATGGTGCCTTTGAAAAGTGTCCATGCAGCTTGCAGGGATTTCACTCTAGTCACTGAACCTTTTAATTTCTGTTTAACTAACCTCCTCATTTTTGCATGGTTCCCCTTTCTGAAATTAAATGCCAGAGTGTTGGGCTGCTGAGGTGTTCTTCCCACCACAGGAATGTTAAATGTTATTATATTATGGTCACTATTTCCATGCAGGTCCTGTTATAGTTACCTCTTGGACCAGATCCTGCACTCCACTCAGGACTAAATCGAGAATTGCCTCTCACCTTATGGTTTCCTGTACCAGCTGCTCCAAGAAGCATTCATTTAAAGTATCGAGAAATTTTGTCTCTGCATTTCGTCCTGAGGTGACATGTACGCAGTCAGTATGGGGATGATTGAAATCCCCCACTATTATTCAGTTCTTTATTTTGATAGCCTCTCTAATCTCCCTTAGCATTTCATAGTCACTATCACTGTCCTGGTCAGGTGGTCAATAATAGATCCCTACTGTTATATTCTTATTAGAGCATGGAATTACTATCCATAGAGATTCTATGGAACATGCGGATTCATTTCAGATTTTTACTTCATTTGATTCTACATTTTCTTACACATATAGTGCCACTCCCCCCCCACTCCCACCCACACACACGACCTGTTCTGTCCTTCCGATATATTTTGTACCCTGGAATGATTGTGTCCCATTGATTGTCCTCACTCCACCAGGTTTCTGTAATGCCTATTATATCAATATCCTCCTTTAACACGAGGCACTCTAGTTCACCCATCTTATTATTTAGACTTCTAGCGTTTGTGTACAAGCACTTTAAAAACTTGTCATTATTTATTTGTCTGCCCTTTTCTGATGTGTCAGATTCTTTTTTATGTGAATGTTTCTCGTCTGATCTGGCCCTTACATTATCCTCTTCCATCCTCTCCTCCTGATTAAAACCTAGAGAATCTCTATCAGTAGGCTCTCCTCTAAGAGAAGTCTCTGTCCGATCCACATGCTCCTCTGCAGCAATCGGCTTTCCCCCATCTCTTAGTTTAAAAATTGCTCTGTTGTTAATATATTGAAGTATTCTTGCTCAAAATTTTTAATCAAGAAATACAATTTTAAAGTTTTTTTTGAGCAGTAAAGCTTTCCAAAAAAAAAAAAAAAAAAAGAGAGAGTACTTTTAGACAATAGTTGGGAGGTGGCATTAAATTATACAACATTTAATAAGTTTGCATATCATGACAAATTACTACGTGATCCTGATGAGAGATGCTGTTATCAAGTAGATGGGGCAAGGGACTGAGAGATGGGAGTTCTAAACATTGACTCGATATGTGGACTTGCGTTAGGCCAGTATTTTCAAATTAGGCTATTGAGTTGGTGTGTAGGCCATGATTTTCAAAGGTGCGGAGCACCAAACATTCCAGTTGAAATCAGTGAGAGATGTAGGTGCTCAGCACATCTGAAAGTCAAGCCCAAGCTCTGTAAAGTTGGACACACAAAAAATTAAGGACCCCAAAATTAGTGGCCACTTTTTGAAAAATTTGTCTGTAATATGTTTTAGTTTCCTCTGTAAAAAGGAGATAATACCTTCCACTTCCTTGGGGTATTTGGAAGATGTATTAGTTGGTTTGTAAAGCATTAAAATGCTGAGTAGCATTATTATAAAGATATCTTTATTGCTTTCAGAGTGAAAGACAATTCTTGAACAAAGAAATTAACCAATGGCTCTTAAGGTAATTTTTGTTTATAATCCAGCTGTAATACTAATTTAGCTTTACATTTCTTTTCTAAAAGCTTAAGGTTGCTTCCTATATGTTTTCATAACCTGAACTCCATGGGTGCTATTAGTCAATTGTTAGATCAACATTTACTTTTCTCCCTTTTTTTAACTAATCTGAGTTAATTATCAGATCTTATGTCATACCAGGATTCCTTCTGGACAAATTGCACCTGCTTCTCTAACCAGCCTATAGTTACCCATGTCATCCCCATTTACCCTTTTAAGAATATTTGTATAACATTTAGCTTTTTTCCAGTTCTCTGCAACTTCTCTAGTGTGCCAAGATTTGTTAAATACTAGCATCAGTGGCTGTAAATGGGGCACCATCACCTTTTGAGCACCTCCTTGCAGCAGTGTGTGTCTCTGCTGTAGCCTGTCTCAATTTTCCCCTCAGTGAGATCACTTTAACAGACTGATCAAGAAGAAGGCAAACACTTTACTTGACAGTAGTAGCTCTTTCTTTAATAAAAGCCTTCTGAAAGGAGCACTTGTACAAGGATTTAAAGGCCCTGGCCTCAAAGCTCAGCTAAAACTTAAAAGTCCCTAAACAAAAGTCTCTGGGTTCCAGCAGCAGCTGCTTCTGCTCTAAGGTCTCAGATTTCTCCACTGCCAGAAGTGGTATTACAGTCTTTCCTCTGCTAGGCTAGGGTCTTTCCCAGGCCTGCCTGACTGGAGAGCACCAGAATTCCTTCTCCCTCTGCCTTCAGAGTACCACTTCTGGCTACTATAGGCTCTCCGGAACTCCCCTTGCTTCTGCCTCATGAGCCTCCCCCACTGAGCTCTCCTAAGCCTTTTAGTAGGTCCAGTAGGCAGTTAGCTGTGCAGAGGTGGAGCTGGGTTGGCTCACATTCCCTTCAGCAGAGCCTGTCACAGGTAGGCTGGGTATCTGATTCCCCTCAGGGCCAGCCCCATGACACTGGCTCAGAGAGTTTCTCTATTAATAAGTGTGGGTGTATCATGAGAGTGTTGGGGATTAGATCTGATTGATATCTCTAGTTGGTTACTTATTTTATGTTCTGTTTTAGGGGAAGCTCCAGTGGTTTATTTTGTTTATTAATGTACTTTAAAAATGATGCCAGTGGTGCCTGGCGCCCTCCGTAGGTGCTTGCTTTTCCTTTTAGTTATAAATCAATAAATCTGTTCTTAGCACAAACACACAGCATTTTCCCTGGGAAACAAGCACATCACTTACAAGTGGTAGTGATCCCAGGCTCCTCACTCTGGAACTTGAGTCAAAGTAATCTAAAGACTACTTATTTCCTCTAAACCTTCCTTAAATTTGGGTAAATATCTTCAAGATATGTTGTGTTTCATGTTGTCTTATTTACCAGGTTGGGGTAAAATACATTTTAGGTCTGTAGGAGGATTTGAAATCATGGAAGTCGGGACTCATTCTCATGGAAATGATGGATTTTCCAGGAACAATTCCTATTCTGTAGAAACTGTCCCCTGTGACAGTTTCTTATTCCTGCAATGTAGTCTGGGAAAGGGTGACTTAAAAGGTCAAAGGAGCTTTTTAGTCCCTCTACTAAAATATGGAAGGGATAGCAAGTGTGGCACTCTGGGTTTAGAGGGACATTAATATACTAGTTGTCCTTCACTCCCCCCACAAGACCCAAACAAGCAAATTGCAGGATGAGAGAAGAAATCAAGTGGTACCCCCTGAAAAATTGAAAAGAGGTGTGGCCTACCTCCTGTCCCTTGAAGAAGCCTCACTTAGAAGGTTCACTGACAGTTGGCTTTTCTCATGGCTTCAGTTTTCATTGTGCACATTTTTTGAAATCTTCAGCACGTGACTTTGTATCAGTTTGCAAAGACACTGGAAGTAACATGCTCAACTCCTGTGAGTCACTTCCTGAACTCCCATCACACAACATTCACCTCCTGCAACTGAATGAAGTGCTGCATATGAGGACTCTGAAGGGCCCCTATCCTGTCCTGTTTGGCACCATAACTTGATATTCAGAATCTCAAAATGAGTTCTCAATAGATTTGCATTCATGTCTTCATGAGATTGTTTTGACAACACAAATGAATGAGCTAACTAGCATCATGCTCGTACAGTGAACAGATTTAATGAATTTTATGAATTGCTGCATGAGTCCTTATGTGTTAGTGTCAAAACAAAGAAACTGGACCCAATTCTGAAAAACTCCCATTAACTTCAACACAAACTGGATTAGAACTTCTGTTACAAGTTTTTAGTGGTAGGTTTGTGTAAGTGTGTAATTATATATTTAAAGGGAATCGCAGACAAGCTATATTTTGGTGTAACTTTATTGAATGTGATTTGTTTTCACATGTAACTGTATTGCCATGTGAAGGAAGAGTACCAACCAAGGACCAAGCAAATATCATTTCACCATCTACCTACAGTGTCAGAGTTGCCACACAGAGAACCCCTCCTCCACATCTCTTCTACAGTGGATAATAACATCATAGGTGTTGGGCAGGATGGATTGGTTTCCATCTGGACCAGAAACTTAAAATTGAAGAAAAGTCAGCTTATACTTGTGAGTTTTTGTTTGTTTGTTTGTTTTTAAAAAGAATGTCATTTAAAGAAAGCTATATAGTTGGTGATGCCTCAGAATCTTCTCTGACCCTAGAAATTAAGTGTTTCCACATAGAATATCACATTTAAATTTCAGAACTCACATTGATGTCAGAGAGGAGAAACTCATTTTTGTTATTTGGAAGCAGCAGTTTCACAGAATTTTTAAAGTGATGGAAAGATTAGTTTTTACTGTCAGTAAAGTCCCATTAACTGATGATTGGTTCAATCTGGTAGATTAGCTGATTTGATGTCAAACTCTGGAACGTACTTGGTGGATTTTTGCAATTCACAGTGGTGTGTTGATACTGCAGCCCATATATTACATGAGATATTAACATTATAAATCACAATAAATAAATCTTTCAGATGAAGATAAATAAAAGCTCTTGTTAGTTAGATGTGTTATCTGTAAAGGCATTATGCTGCTATTTGCAAGAGCAGAAGTGTTGGCATGTGTGTTTCACGAAGTGTTAGTTTAGGCCAAATCCGAATAAACCTCCACACACTCCCAATTTTGCTTGGTTAGGAAGCTGTGGCCTTTCCTTTTGATAGTTATCCATGCCTTTGCTGCCTCCATATTTATTTAGATTTATAAAATAAAAAAAAGGCACCTAAAAAGCTCTGTGTGCTCTCCCACTATTTAGTTGCACATCTGAATTATACAGATCTCAGCTTCAACCCTTACCTCCCAGGCACAATCACATAGTAAACCAATACCCCATTGCATTGATACCCTACCCCTCTGTAAATTAGCCTGCCAAAATGCCTGAAGAAACAGATGAGCTTGGCAGCATTAAGTACTACAATATATTCTACTGGGTAGTGGTTTGAACAGCACCCATTTACGTAGCAGTGTTTTTCACCTGGAGTGTATTATACCCATGCTCCAGAGACTGAACTAGCTTCCAATTCAAATCTGAGTGCGATTCCAGATGCTGTTTTTGAGCCCTAAAACTTTTTATAGTTTGGGTCCTGTGTATTTATGACGCAACCTCTGAGTTCTTTTCCTAGCAGCTGACTGAGCAGGGACACTAGAGTTGCCAGTCCACAGATTTACAAACTGGCAGCAAAGTGTTTGCACTAGAGACTGAGGCTGAGAATTCACAGCTCCATGGTTCATCCTCAGTCCAACACAGCCAGAATTTTTTAACCTTCACATCATACTGCAAAGCCAGGGTAAACTAGCAGGCCTTCTCTAGTCTTTGTTAGACTAACATTGTGTATTGTCAAGTGCACCAGTGGTCACAATGGTCAAATGCTAAGGACTGCACAGGGTTCCCTGAGGCAGAATTCCTTCCTTAATAGGCCAGCTGAGCTCTATATAATCACACAGCAATCACCTAATTAATTGATAGACTCATAGACTTCAAGATCAGAAGGGACCATCGTGATCAGAGGCTGACCTCCTGCACATTTTAGGTCACAGAACCTCACCCACCCACTCCTAATATCTCATGCTGTATCTGGATTCTTGTTCTAATTAGCATTTTTCCTTTATGTATTTTTCAGAAATCAAATATTTGTATTTATCCGTACATTGAACCTATGCACTTTGATTTTTTTAATGTATTTTCATCTCACATTAAGTTCTTGGCAATTTCCTTTTGGACTGCAGGATGAAAACAAAGTATTAAACAGAAAACTGAAATGGATTTCAGATTCAACTTTAATGCCTCAGTACAATAAGCTGATTATTGGAACCTGGTAAGTAACCCTTTGCTGGACTTCTGAGTATGAATGAAACACTCACATTTGAACAGTACTTTGGACTTTAACAAAATACAGCCTCTTCAACACGGATGAATGTTGTTTTCTTTTAAAGGATGAATGGGTCAGAAAAGGGGAACATGCCTTTGTTGGAAGTGTGAACCTTATATTTATTCTAATTTTCTATCTCAAGACCAGTGAGCGGCCTCAGTCCAGTCCCTAGACAATTGATAAAGATATTGAATATGTGCAATCTGAATGGGTAAATTGTAGAATTCAGGATTAGTATTTTCCCCCATATACAGCATAGCACTACAAGATACATCTGTTGTCACTCAAAGGGTTTAATGTCTTCCTCAGAAGCATCAAGTATTAACAGGTGAAGCATACCAGGTCTATGGATGAATGTATGGATCCGATTTGGCAAATCCTATGTTCCTAGCAGGACCGGCTCCAGGCACCAGCTTGCCAAGCAGGTGCTTGGGGTGGCCACTCCGGAGAGGGGCGGCACGTCCAGCTATTCGGCGGCAATTCGGCGGACGGTCCCTCACTCCCGCTCGGAGCGAAGGACCTCCCGCCGAATTGCCGCCGCAGATCATGATCGCAGCTTTTTTTTTTTTTTTGCGCCGCTTGGGGCGGCAAAAACCCTGGAGCCGGCCCTGGTTCCTAGGATGAGAGTGCCTGTGTAACTGCTGAAGTTCACCTCATCTTTAAAAGCCTGGCTCTTCACTATCAGCATAGAGGTTTTTTGAGGCAGGAAGTAAAATTTTAGTTAATTATAGCAGGATGACAGGCCACCACTTAAATGTGTAGTTTCCCTCTGTCTCTGGAAAACTTTGATGTAACTTCAGTTTTTCAGCTTCTTCAACTTTGTGACTCTTTTGAAGCAAATAAGACCATGCTCTCAAGAATGAAAATACTTTTGAGCCAAATTCAGCTTTCGTGTACGCAGGTACAGCTCCACTGAAGTCAGAAGTTGTGCTTCCTTGCACCAGGGCTGAATTTGGCTCTTCCTATTCAGGATCAAAATTCTCTCTGAAAGAAAAAATTGCATTTCTTCCATTTTATTCACAGCAAAGTATCAAAGTATTTTATCCAAAGTGAATAGAAAAGAGACAGTAGTCACCTGGAAATCAGAGGTTCAGAAGTGTTAAATACAACTCAGCTACTTATAGGTCCTTACTTTTCATCAGCAAGACCTAGGGAACGGCTAGTGTTACAGATCTGGAGTCCTTTGGTCAAGGTGTCCTTGAGACAATCTGGTTGTGCATGGAGCTTTTAGAGCACTTTGAAATATCAGTTCTTAAACAAAAAGCTATGTTTTTGTTAGCGTTCCTCCCTAATGTTCTCTTTTGCTGTGTTCAGAGATTGATCACATAGTTTTCCTTTAGAGCTTTTTCATAACATTCTGCCAGGCTATTTGTAACATCTTATTGCAGCATAAACTGATGTAACGAGCAGAATTTCTGTTCTCTTTCTTTTCCTCTCTATAGCCAACTTTTTTTTTTTTTTTAATAACTGTATTTTACCACTTCCAATTGCTCAGGCAGCTTCTTGACTGAATGATATATTCATCTGTTAATGTACCCGCATTACTTTCAGAGTAAGTTATATGGGATCGGATATTAGGATTAATGAGAGGTTTTTAGAGATATATGAGTGCATTTAGAGGAGACCCATATAATTTTAGGCTGGCCTACACTAGCAATTTATGTTGGTATAACTGCATCGTTCAGGGGGGTGGATTTTTCACACCCCTGAGCGACTTATACTGACTTGACTCCCAGTGAAGACAGCACTGTGTCGATGGGAGGGCTTTTCCCGTCAACATAGCTGTTGCCCTCTCAAGGAGGCGTGGAGTATCTACGCCGATGGGAAAAGCCTTCCCTTCTATGTAGGTAGCGTCTTCAATGAAGCATTGCAGCTGCATCACTGTAGCCTTTTAAGTGTAGACTTGCCCTTGGTCTCTTCATTATTACATGATCCTCACAGATAACATGGATGAAGGGAAACTGGGCTCATCTGTCTGACTAATCATGAAATCTCCATGAGAGGGAGTGTCCTGTAGTGACTAGAACAAGGAACAGCTAGGACTGTTTAGCATTATTCCTGGTTCTGCCTCTGACACTCTAGCCTGATTCTCTTCTCCTACACCAATTTTACATGAGTGAAAATAAACTGATTTCAGTCAAATTTCTCCTGATTTACATCAATCTGAGAAGCACATCAGACTTAACATCTCTGTGCTTTGGTCCATCTGTAAAATGGACATAATATTTCTTCCATAGAGATAGGATTATTAATAATATTAATGAAAGGTATGATAATAGTGCAAATTATTATTGTTTATTAAAAAGCCAGTATTTCATGTATTCTAGTGTATTAAGTAAAATCCATGGTGTTTCATGAATGTTTCAGTGACAGAGAGATACGTCTATATGAACTTTCCAACTTTGAACCATACTGTCAAATCATTGGCCTTGAAACAATGCCTCTACACCTAGATTACAGGTATGATCTGCTATTCATATCAATTATTATCAAAGGTGACAGGATATTCTGTTCCCGATGAACATTTGGGGCCACATTTACTGCTGGCATGTGCCAGTGCAGCTTCATTAAAAATATTGGAGTTGAGCCTGTTATGCCAATAGTGAATTTTTTCCTGTATCTTTTGTGTGTTTCAGCAATGCCATCGAGTTTTAAGCTGTTTGTGGTATAGACTGTGGCTGAAAACCTGGCTCTGCTGAAGTCAAGGAAAGTTTAACCACTGACTTCAGTGGAGCCAGGATTGTACCCTGTGTCTGCAGTTATAGAGAAGAGTGCAGATATTAGTTGTATTGTTATCTCATTTATTCCACAAAATAAGCAATATTACTTGTAATATTATTTGTAATTAATCTTATGATTTTTATTACATAAATTAATCTTTGACTATACGGGGAATGGCTGCTTTATTGAATGCCTTGTAAAAATCTGTTTATCCTTTTATGAAGTGTTCGAGAGGAAGATGAATGCATAATATTGTATGGTGATGAACAGGTATGTTTGTTATACTTGTACAGTATGTTCAATTTAGTTAAAATATAGTAGAAGAAATGTTAGTTTAGTATAACAAGTTAGCCTGTATAGCCTAAACCCTGAGAATAGGGTTTTTTTCTTTTGTTTTGTTTTAATCATCTTTGCTATTTATGATAGTGAAGCTGACTAATATGTGAATACGTTGACTAATGGGAAGCATAGTTGGGAACAATCCAGTAAAATGTTTAAAGCAAGCAGGAATGTTTTGACTGGGAATTCAATGCTAGAAACAAAAATGTCTTTTTAAACCAAGAGTTTAAAACTGAACATGTGCTTTAAATCTTCATGATCTTATAGGTGAAATGTGAACTCTTACTCAGTCCCTTCGTTATGGGTGCTAACTTGTTGACATTTTGTTCCATAGGGCTGTGTTAACATCATCTTGATCTCTTCTGTGGGAGAAACACTGAGGTATGTAATTAGTTCTAGATCTCAACAGAAGATGATGCGAAAAATCCTACCCAGCTCAAGCAAGCTTAGCACAGCTCTAGTGGGTTGGCCTAAGGGAAGCCACCTTTCAACTAAGTTGCTAGAAGTGCTTCCAAGGGCCATAAGGATCTTTCTTTGAGTCTCAGATGTACCAATGCACAAGATGCAGCTCTAGGGAATCCAGCTGTCAGATGGTGGATTTCATTAACTCATTAGATCACTAGTGTCTGGCTAGCTACCAACACCTGAGCACCTACGAATGCTTCAGTTGATGGCAATGATAATAAATACCGATCATTTTAAAACAGTGCTTTACATTCTCTAAAGGCTGTAGAGATAAACAATTAACGTTTAAAACTATGTTTATAAAAGCTTATAGACCAGAGAGGAGAAAGAGCCAGTGGTGGGAGGGAGGGTCTTGTGGCTGAACAATGAGCCCATTGGTCAGTTGAGAAGCACCGGTGACAGGCTGCTGAAGTGAATTCTGTCTCGTTCTTAGGTTTGTGGTGTAACGTACAGCCTAGGGGGGAGGGATAGCTCAGTGGTTTGAGCATTGGCCTGCTAAACCCAGGGTTGTGAGCTCAATCCTTGAGGGGGCTACTTAGGGATTTGGGGCAAATCAGTACTTGGTCCTGCTAGTGAGGGCAGGGGGCTGGACTCGATGACCTTTCAGGGTCCCTTCCAGTTCTGTGAGATAGGTATATATCTCCATATACAACACTAGTTGTTGGGAGTGAGTGGCTGGATGTTGAAGTGTAGGGGAAGGAGAAGGGATGTATATTGCTCTCAGAAGCTTTCAAACAGTTCCACTTCCTGATTCTGATGTGCTAATTGACACAATGCTGGAATGATTAGACTGTAAACACAGCAAGGGATTCTGTTATTGAAATAAAAAATCCATTACAATTACATTTAATATCCGATTTAGTCATTTTTATATTATTTTTAACAAAAAATCTACAATTTTGGCCTAAGCTACTTGTAGTATCCATTTAATTAAGAACAAATTGGTTTTATAATTTCTGTCTCGCTTATACCACTTTGATAGTGTAACTCCATTGATTTCAGTGGAGTTGCTCCTTATGTTCACCTGGCTAAGTGAGAGCAGAATTCTATTTTATAATACTATAATTTATACTCAGAAATCTAGCTCTTTGGGATGGTCCCATTTTTGTTTTATGTTTGTACAGTACCCACCACAATGGGCTCCTACCCTCCTGATACTACTTTGAGAGTAATAGCCAAGAGTATTCAATTATAAGAGTTGATTTTCAGACATCTTCTTCATTCCAGTCTCGTTAGCAAAGGCTTGGGGCTTGATGTTCAACTGCCTTGCATCTTGTATTGTTATTCATTTAACACCTGTGCAAAGTGAATGTCTGATTGAAGAGAATGGTTTGCACAGTTATAAATGAGGTCCGAGGCACTGGGAAACCAAATCATTTTATTTAAAAGAATCAGTTTATAAAACAAAACAAACTCAATTCCCTCAGTTACCAACAGTTTTCCATGACTATAGGAATTGGACAAAGTGTCCAGCTGTGGAGGAAATCCCCAGTGTTTCCATGGAGAACATTAATGACAGTAGAAATATCACCTTCATTCGCTGGAAGGTTCATAATGATTGGGTGACCAAGGTAAGAGAAATTGATTTGCAGTGTTAGGAGGGTTCTGTATTTGGGAGCCTAAATTTCATTCTACTTCCTAACTTCTCAGTACATTTTATTGTTATTGTTTTCTTTGCAAGCCTCCTGTAGTGCACCTTTCATTTGTACATTTCAATAGTATTATTAATGCATTGACTATGAAATGATTGTTACCATATACATCATTGCTAAATAGCTAAAACTATGTATTACTTTGGAAAGGATTACAGAGTAGCTGAGTTCCTCCTTCCCTCACCATCCCAGCCACCCTCCCCTTCTTAGTGGCGTATTCCACGTCTCTGAATACTATCACCCCTTTATTATTTTTTGTACAGTAGCACCCAAAGGCTCCGGCTGAGTTCGAGTTCCCATTGTGCTAGGTAGTGAACCTACACATAGTTAGAGACAATTCTTGCCTCAAATAGCTTACAGTCTAAATAGACAAGACAGAAAAAGCATGACGGAAAGAAAGTATTATTGTGTCCCCACATTATTTGAAGTTGGGGAAACTGAGGCACCGCTAGATTAAGTGATTTGCCGAAGGTCAAACAGGAAATGTTATGGCAGAGCTGGGAATTCAACACAGATTTCCTCCCAGTTCATTTCCTGCCCACCATTCTGCCACGGGAGTAGGACCAGGGGGTAATTCCTTTTGGAGCCCAACAATACTGCTCCTTGTTTGACCAAAGTCACCATGAATCTAAAAAAGCCCATTCTCCCCCTTGGGTGGCGCATGCTGCTTCTGTAGCACTCCCAGCCTTTGGTGACCTCAGAAATGAAACACCAGAACTGAGAATCCAGCTTGATAAGACAAGGACTCTGGTTTGTCATGTAGGAGATCTATTGGTCTGGCCTCCGTGGCTGATGATGTTTTAATTTGAAGTTAATACCATATGTAACATTTTTGGTGTAGGGGGCTATTTCATGTCAGCTGCTTCATGTGTTTTGTGAGTGGACCTTTCATGCCGGACTTTCCAGGCAGTGTTTGAGAGACTAGCACGCAGTTTTCACTATTGTTAATAACAGCATCATGCCTTATTCCCTATGGCCCAGATTCACAAAAGTACTTAGGTGCCTAAGTCCAGCATTTAGGCACTACTGACATCATCAAAATGTCTGCTCAACTGTTACCTCACCCCATAGGTGCCTAAGCTTCCACTTGTCAGCATTCACAAAGCCACCTAAATAGTGACTCTGTCCCACAGCCAGCAAGGTGCTCAAAGCCCTAGCTCAAGCCAAAGTCCCAAAATCCCCAAAGCAGGATTCTCAAACTAGGCAGAGGTCATCTCTGTCACCAGCAGGGACTATTCCTTAGGCCTGCTTTTGAGCATGCCCAAGACCTGATATAAAAGACAGCCAAGAGAGAAAATCTCTCTCTCTCCCACCTAGGGTGTTTAGGACACTCACCTGGAAAGTGGGAACCCTGGGTTCAAGTCCCCTCTCTGCCAAATTTGGAGCAAGGACTTGAACCAGGCTCTCCCACATCGTAGTTGTGTGCCCTAACCATTAAGCTGGAGGGCATGGATCAGTGTTTGTCTCACTCCCCATCAGTACCCAGCCCAAGCCGGGGAAATTGATGATCCCACCAGCAGACCAAATAAGGTGATGAATCCTGGTCATGTGCCACCTGAGGCACGTTGCGCGTATGCTAAGAAGACAACCATTAAGCTATTGACTGTTCAGGGTTGAGGTCCCTTTCCTCCACAAGAAAGGGCTGACCTGGCTTAGACATGTAATTCCAGGAGCGGGTTCATGGCTGAGAATCACGAGTGGAGGGAGATACCTACTTCTGGCCCATCAAGCGCCTAAATACCTGTGAGGATCTGGGCCAAAGCCCTTTCCTCACATTTCACTTCTGGATAGCTTAACTCAGCTTGCTGGCTTCTGAGGATCCCTTTCTTAGGTACCTAATTCTCCCCATCCATTCTATGGGGAGCCTAGGCACCTCGGTCAAGGCTGACAATTCCACAGGGCGGCAGGGCACCTAAGGGTCAGCCATTGCAACACTAAGTGGAACAACGTCCCAGTACCTTTTTGAATTTGGCCATAAATGTGTCTAGATATAAGAGTATACAAGTCTTTTTAAAAAACACAGTTAAGCATGAAAAGCGTGTCAGGCATTTACTGAAAATTTCTTCATTTTTTTCTGTTATCTGTTGCAGATCAAATACATTCATTCTATAGAATCCATTATATCCAGTTCAAATGATGATTATACAGCACTAGTTATAGGTAAGTGAAAATTCACAAGCAGAAGAAACTTGTCACAAGTTGAAATAACCTCTGTAGGAAGGAAGGCTTGCCCTTGAATCCCAGCAGTTTCTTAAGAGGATGACCCTGTCCTGATCAGTTTCATTTTCAAAGTCCATAAGGATGTCGAAGGTTCACCACAGTGCAGAATGTTATCTCGCAAGGGGCCTTCTAGCTTGTAGGGGGAAGAGTCCTAACGCCATTCCTAAAAGACAGATTTCTCTGCACAGCAGTGCTGCAGTTTGGTTACCTGGCTCTAATGGCCTATGTCATTTTAAACTCTATTCAGTATTTTTTAAACTGTGGTGCTAAAATGCTGCTCCATTCTCTTCCAAACTGCTTATTAAAAAAAGAGTAAGCTGCAAATCATTGTGTATGAGGACTTAAAACTATTGGGTTGTTTCCATTTTTTACAGGCACTTTAATTTGCAAATGATCTGGGTCCCTAAAACAGTGCAATGTGGAGAGATCTAATATTGCTGAGGTCATTCAGGTGATTAGAAGAGCACCAATATGCCACAGTGTGAGATTTGAAATCTCTCTGAATAAATTATCAATTACTTTATACTATGCATGGCTGAAACCCCAGTTACAATTTCGTTACTGTTTTTCAGTTCATACTGTATAGGGCATCTCTGTGACATGAGAGCATGTATCTGCCTCTTTAGCTTCCAAAACTTCATTACTGTCATTATCCCTGAGAACAAAAAGCCATCTTAGCATAAGGACACAAGTTACGATTTGTCACCCCATCATTTAAAACTAATTTATAACAATACTGTAACACATTACTCCAAATGACATTTCTCAATGCCCTTTATGGGTAGAGCAAATCACTATGGTGTTTGCTTCCTAAATGATGATGGAGGAAGGAGAGATGAAGAACCTATATAATGGTTTGTTATATGAGGGAGAAATTGCAGCAATGAGTTATCTGCAAAATCAATTTGGCTGTTATCGGAGATCAATGATATTGGCTTGAACGTCTACTTGTGTGCTCATTTAAAAAAATTAGAGCTTCTCTGTTACATTTCCCCACAAATAAAGAGCAAAGCAGGTATTTTCCAGTCAAGATTGCCTTAATCTGAAATCAGAATAAACAATTGAAAAGAATGACCAAATATTGAGCCTCAGAGAGAGGGAGATCGTAAGAAAACATAGTGACTGTAACATTCTACAGATGAACTGAAATTCAAAATGGCGTCTGACTCAGCTTTCCCTGTAACAGGTGGAAAGATACCTCTATCCCCTACAAAACAATCTGTTGAAAAAACTTGAGAAGGGTACCTCAGACTTTTCTTGCCTTGCTCATGCTGGGTTTTTCTGTGGAATGGGATAATCCAGCTAAATAATGCTTAGGCCCTGATCCTCCAAGCTGCACAGCCCTGCATGGATACAGGGGTCTTCCTGTAAGGGGCACCTTGCAGGACTGGGGTTTAAATTACCTACCTGAAACGGGTATTGTGGTACTCAAATTAGATAATGGTTGTAAGGTGCTTTGAACATGAAAAGGGCTATAAACATTATTCTGTATTTTTGCTTTGACATTCAAACAAACTCAGAGAGAAACCACCAACTTTCACTTAGTTTTGCACTGAGCTCTTGGCATATAGGGAGGGCTGCAGATTTGTCACAGTATTTTATTATCAAATAATCACAGAGCAGTCAGTACATTTAGTAAAAGTCAAGGGCTTAAGGGGGAAAATGGGGTGTAAAGTCATGGAAGTGCCATCTAAAGTGGAGGAGCCATGTGCGGGAGGAAGTTAGGTCTTGCCCCTGTGGGGTGGGGCGAGGCTGCAGAGCAAGCCCACCCCACAGCAGTAGCTCCTGTTCTACATGTCTGGGCTGTTCCCTGCTCCAGATATTGCAACCTGGTGCACAGCGTCACAGTGCTGCTCAGGTTTGGCCCTTTGTCCTGATAGTGGGATAGCAGGGCCAAACCTGAGTGGTGCTGCAGCCTTCTGCATCCGGTCACGCCGAACAGAATGGGGAGCCACACCCAGACCCGCAGGACAGGAGCTGCTGCTGTGCGGTGAGTTTATTAAAATTATGGACACAAAGAAAAGTCATGGATAAACAGCAAAATCATAGTATCAGAGATATTTTTACCACCGTGACAACCCAGCAGCCTTGCATATAGGTAAAAGGAGAAAATGATTTTTCAAACATTTGATTTTTAAATGGTACTTTTGCATTCTATGTATGCACTCTCTTTAACAGCTTTGGATCTTCATCCTCGCAACACAGACCCCAATCCTGTAAACACTTCCACCCATGCCTAACTTTATCTACACGTGAGTATTCCCATTGACCTCAATGGGACTTCTTGCACGAGTAAAGTTAAGCGCTTGTGCCTTTGCAGGATTGGGACCTTGCCATTTGTTTTTAATGTAATTGAAAAGAGCATGTTTGAGTTTATTTTTCTCATTTCCAATTTTTCTCGCACAGGCTGTGTCAATGGAACTAAAGATGTGCAGCATCGTTTGAGGATTCTGATGGACTCCAGCAGCATTCCAACCAAGTGCTCTCTGCCAGGTGGGGCTTCTCCTCCAAGGCGCTTTAACTGCGATGAATCCCAATTCAAAGTGCACAGAGGGGTCAAGGCCTTTGACTTCTGTAAAGAAAGTAATATTCTTGTGACTGGCGGTTTGGACCGGAATATTCGTCTATGGAATCCTTATGTTCCTGGGTAGGTGACTGAAGGACTAACCAGTGTTAGTCAGTTTTCATATATTATTTGTTTACGGTAGCACTAACAATGTATTTTTTAAGATGTTCAAGACGGAATGATCCCTGTTCCAAGACTAGGGCTAAGACTAAGAGCTAAGTTTATTTTGAATTGTAAATATGGTATCATGCAAAGCCTGCAAGTGCAGTGCTGCTGTGAAAATGACTGCAAAATTGGCACTATGGTACTCCATGTGTAGTCTTTCAGGCCCCAATCTTGTAAATTCTTATACATATGCTTAACTTTATGTACTGTGAGTAATGTCACTGACTTCTGGACCCTTCATGTTGATTTTCAATAACCTTTGGAACATTGGGGAAGTTCCAGAGTACTGTCAGATAGCAAATGTTGTGACAATATTTTACAAAGGTAAACAAGACAACGCATATAATTATAGGCCTGTCAGAAATTCCAGCCAAAATAAGGGAATGGCTGATATGGGACTTCTTTAATAAAGAATTTAAAGGAGAGTAATTAATGCCAGTCAACATGTGTTTGTGGAAAATAGATTCTGTCAAATGAACTTGATATTTTATTTGATGAGATTACTAGTTTGGGTTAATAAAGGTAATGGTGTTTGATGTAGTATATACTTAAACTTCTCTTAGTCATTTCACTTGGTACTTCACAACATTTTGATTAAAAAACTAGAACAATACAAATCAACATGACACATTAAATGGGTAACTGACAGGTTTCAAAATGTAATTGTAAATGAAGAATCATCATCATTATCTAGTGGGGACCTATAGGGATCCGTTCTTGGCCCTACATTATCATTTTTATCAGAGACCTGATAAATTATTGGATACAGTTTTATGGATAAAGTTTTAAAGTAATTATGGATAAAGTTTGCAGATCATACAAAGATTTGGGGAGCGATAAATAACGAAGAGGACAGGTCACTAATCCAGAGAACTATGAATGGCATGGTAAGCTGGATGTAAAGAAAACAATATATATTGTAAGACAACCAAATGTAAAGTTATACATTTAGGCAATACAGGCAATAAATCAAAGGGGTAGCCGTGTTAGTCTGGATCTGTAAAAGCAGCAAGGAGTCTTGTGGCACCTTATAGACTAACAGACGTATAGGAGCATGAGCTTTCGTGAGATGCATCCGAAGAAGTGGGTATTCACCCACGAAAGCTCATGCTCCTAGACGTCTGTTAGTCTATAAGGTGCCACAGGACTCCTTGCTGCTTTTACAGGCAATAGAGTTATACATTTAGAATGTAGGCCATCTGTCACAGCATAGCTGGTCTCTGTGAGTAGACAAGGCCCAGCACATGTGTGTCAGAGCAGTTGTGCCCAACTGAGCCAATTAAAGGGAGCAGGGCTACACCGTCAGCTAGAAAAAGCATGTAAGAGGGCAGGCAGGGGCAGGTTGTGTATTAGAAGAACCACAGAGGAGTAGAGCTAAGTCTAGTGGTGAGTCCTTGGAACATGGGGACAGGTGCTCAGGGAGATAGTCCTGCAGCTAGTGTTTTGCAGAGCTTGCTGAGAGCAGAACTGGCTGTGGGAAGGGAGCTAATTGGGATTAGGAAGCTGCAAGAAGGCTTACCAGAGACCCCAGAACAAAGTGAGACGAGGAATTGTTTTGTCTGTTATGTGCTTACGTTTAGACAAAAACCTACTTAAAAAGGTGACTGGGCCTCGCAAAGAGTGCTTGTTAAGCTGCGGAGAAGCCCTGCTGTGTCACAGTATGTTTACAAGATGGAAGACTGTACCCTGAGAAGCAACTACATGGAGATCAAAATTTTGATAATGGGTTCGTCATCTTAGCAGAAGAATCTATATAACACAATCCAATAATTGGAAGTTGAAGCTAGACAAATTCAGACTGGAAATAAGGCACCAAGTTTTAACAGTGAGGATTATTAACCACTGGAACAATTTACCAAGGGTTGTGGTAGATTGTCCATTATTGGCAATTTTAAAATAAAGATTGAATGTTTCTAAAATCTGCTCTAATTCAAACAGCAATTGCTTCAGGGAAGTCCTCTGATCTGTGTTTATAGGAGGTCAAACAGTTGATCACTGTGATCTCTTCTGACCTTAAATTCTATGATTAGGGCTACTCACAAGACACACAATTAAGCACCTGTACAAATCTTTGAAGAATTGGGGTGTCACTGATTACTTCTAAACTGAGCACATTTTGAGATATAAAAGTATTTTCTAACCAGCAGCTTTGCACTTTCACCCAGGGATTTGAGAGTCAACCTGGATTCTTATTACACATCACCACTAATAGTGTCTACAGCCCAAATGAGGCCCTCAGTTACATCTGTGCTGCAGTGCCCTCAGAAGGTGTGTCCACGTATAGCTAATTGGAACTTAAACAAGTCTGTTAGTGACTCACAAGAAGTAGAATCCAACTCCCTCTGTGGTGACTTGGCAGGGTTAATGAGCATAAAAAGCAATTTACAATGAGGATTACAAAGGGCTCTCTCTGCTCCCTCTTAATTCTGTGTGTGGTTCTGGGGTACCCAGGACTGAGTTACCTTGTTGTCTCCAGCGTGAGGGAGTCTCATGTGTGGTAACTGGGTGTTAGTTCCCCAACATCACCAGCCTCTTACTCACTCAGTGTCTATGCCAGTTTTGTCTTCACCTTGTAGGTTAACAATAGGTGTACCAGAGTCTCTCTGAATTGTTGTCCTGTGATATCCAGTCCCTGACATAAGCTACTCAGAGAACCTCTGCCCCCAGGAGCAGTGTACCCAGTTTAGTAAGCTCTTGTGTTTAAACAAACACACACTCACATTCTCTCTCTCTCTCTCTCTCTCCTTGTAATAAAACAAAAGTAAGTTTATTTAAAAAATAACAGAGAGGTAACTAGAAACAAGTGTTTGAAACAAATGGTTACAATACAAAACAGAATAATGTGTGTGTGATGGGTTCCCCCCAGGGTATCACTTGGAACTAGGATACCACTGAGCCTGCTTGTCCCCCCAGCCTAGGTTCCCCTTATTCTGTGCTGCTGTGACAGGCCCTCAAACCCCCTTCCAGCTCACACACAGGTAGAGACACACCCAGGTGCAGCTATATTCACATGGATGCTGAGAGCAGCTCTGCATGGGAGAGCTCAGCTGAGGAATTGCCCAACATGCAAGTGCACATCCCCTCTGGAGTGTAAACCCAAAATTGTATTGTCTTGCACTGCACAGAGAATTTATACAGCGTAAGATCATAAAATTCGCCCTCTCCCTCAATGTGGAGAGAGGTATGCAACAGCTCTCTGCCCCAAGTATGAGTTCCACACTTGTTTTAGAGACAAAACAAGACAAGTTTATTAACTACAAAAGATGGATTTTAAGTGATTATAAGTGATAGCAGCCAGATCAAAGCAGATTACCTTAGTAAATTAACAAACACTGCAAACTGAGTTTAACACACTAGATAGGTAGGATATGAATTAGCAAATTCTCACACTGAGTGATAAACAGGCTGGCAGATTCTTAAAACACAAGTTGCCATGGCTTTCCCAGGTTTTCATACACAGGCTAAAAATCCTTCCAGCCTGGGACCATCACTTCCCACAGTTCAGTCTTTGGTCCTCAGGTGTTTCCAGGTGTGTTGTTGTAGGGAGAGTGAGGTGCCCCCAAGATGTCATTTCCCCCCTTTTATATCCTCTCCCCACTTGCTGGAAAGCTCTTTTGCTGTGACCTAGGTCAAACAGTTCCCATTGTGTAGTGCTATCTCTGAGAGGTTTCCATTGTACACAGTTCCTGGGGTAATCTTTGTGTTTGTGTGCATTTCCTCAATAAGCCATTAACATTGTTTGGCCTTTTTACTGTCGTAACTGAAAGGCTGCTTGTGGGTATTTTCAACCTCAGGACATGTTTCAGCAACACATACATAGCCAAACTTCATAACTTCACATACAATCCAATGAGATATTACTGTCTAGCAGATCAAGATTTTTAGAATGACACCTCACAAGGCATACTTTGTATAAGACCTATCCTAATTACATGACAGTGGTGAATATTGGGGTGTCAGCGTGTCACAATGTGAACCTGCATCTACACTTAACAGTTCTTTCCTATCTAAAAGTAGGTTTTCCATCCCATTCCCAAAGTTCAGTCTGGTGCAGAGCTGGCTGGCTTCACAGGAACTAGGATCCAGTTTTTCATGAGAACATCTTTACTACCACCATGTCTCCTCAGTGAAAGGATTCAGAGGTTCTTTCTCCCAGCTCTCATATACGGAATCAGTCTCTTGTTTTTATTCACAGATAGGATGAACTTCTGTCTGTTGTAATTTTCCTTTTTTACCTCCCACGTTTAGATTATTTGCCATTATCTTTTGGATGGAACAAGGACAGACAGTTGAGCCTTGCAATATATCACCAACCAGCCAGAGCAGCGTGACAAGTCCCTACTGCTTGAATGGAGCACCAGAGATATTGTCCCCTGGTGACTAAGCTGAGAAACATGCTTCCAATATAAAATCCATGATTCCAGAAATATTACCCATACAAACATCTCACAATAATTATGAATTTTGTGAAGTTATGAGCTTTCTGTAGATAGCATAGATGTTACTCTTTATCTATAAATATCTTGCAATATGTTTGGTGTAGTGAGTTTGTCAGGTGTGAGATGAGAGTTGTTGGCAAAATGGGACCCCTTTGTCAAGGAGCCTCTGTCACAATGTTTCCATAGATATTTCAGCAGTCTCCCCAGATTCCCCCCCGTGCACACACAGTGACTTTCTTTAAGGTTGCCTCTGTAGTACTGGCTGTCAATGGAGAATACCTCAAACATCCTATGATTCATGGTTTAG